AAGAATGCGTCTGATTCGCTATGGTGTTTTCAGGTTCGCGGGCTTGTCCTCAGTTGCGAGGCAAGTCTTGCTGAGGTCTGCTATGGGTTCATTTCATTCCTCAGTTTACGATAGTTGGTGCATGGCCACTGTCTTCTACGTGCTAGCGGTCTGTCCAAAGTTGGAGAAAACAAAGGCATAGACGTCAACGCAGAGATGAAGCACGTGTTGTCCCAGATAGGCGCAAAGGAAGCCAAAGTGAGCAAGAAAAAAGTTACCCGAGGAGAAAAATCCGCGCTTCGGGTACCTAGATCGGGGATATTTGCCCGACTGCTGTAAGACGTGGATAACTTTGGCTAGCGGCTAGCTTCTGCTACATTTGGTTATCTTGTTGCCACACGAGCAAGCTCTGGATTCAGTCGACCACCGGATCAATCAGGCGTCTGTGTCTAGTGTCAGGATATCGAAATCTCTGCTATCGTCATGATATCCGTCAGTAAAAACAAATGCAAGTACACGAGATCTGCGCACAGACAAACCCTGTGTATGTATGCGAGACATAGTCCACTCACTCATAAGCTAGTCTTACCGTGAGTATTCAACCAGCGGAGCTTGACGTTCATCCCCTGAATTCGCCTCGCAGACAGCGCCAATAACAGATGGTTAAGTGCCAGGCCCCCAACTCCACCGTTCTTGGTCGCATACTTCGTGGCTTGACTACGCATTGTCACCATCTGAAGGCAAAATCACTCAAAATACTGTCTCGTTCGAAACTGCCCCTGTCTGACTACGAGACCCATGGTAGACGGGCGCTCACCGATCGCGCTACAAAATCAATCGTCCATTTTGCCTTGGTGCTCTCTTTCGAGTCGCACCAGCGGTCGCACAACGACGCGTAATGTGGACAGGATAGCATTACCGACAAAGACAAGGCAGACTGGAATAGACATTTCTGGCTTCTTAGCCATTGCCAACCAGTCAGGCACTCAATCATTGTATATACCCGATGGCAGCCCACAGGGCAACGAGCTCGTGGTTCAGTTGTTAGAGGGGTTAGGCTTCTAACCAACAGGTCGCAGGATCGAGCACCAGGTCTCCACATCTCGGCGTTGGGTATGACTGTTTGACGGAGGCTGATAAGCCAGAAACGGTCATTCCAGTCTCCTTTGTCTCTGTTGGTAATGCTATTCTATGAGACCCATGTGAACCACCGAAAACAGAGATGGGCGCGACGAAAACTGATCTCGGAGTGAATTTGTTGAGGTACGAGGGTCGACAATCCGATGAATTGCAAATCAGAAGATGAAGAAGACAGCTCGATGCACAAGCAGTACTGAGGCCACGGAGTGTATATGCAGCTCAGAAAGCAGTTTCTGCAAGCATCCTCACCACGCAAGTGAGGGTCATAGAGGTTGTAACCCCCTTCCACGCATGTGGGAAGCGTGCGTCTCAGCTCCTCTGCTGTATGTGTCATCCGAGTCTGAGACCATCACAGTGCGTCAAGCACCGTGGCCTGGAAGGCTGCTGATTGACGGCCCAACTCAGTCCACGCATTCTGTCCTGTTTTATGCGTATGTGTCTGTTTGGAGTGGCGGACTGGTGGGCCGGGAGCCAGGCTGAAACGGCTCCTTAACATGACCTATGGCACTCTCACGCATGTCTACCGCCCAACCCCGTTGTGTGAAATTCTGATGCTTGGGTTCGGGGAGCCAGGTCGTTCACGTGGCGCGCGCAGACAGCTGGCCGGCTCTGACAGTTACTGGGGCCTGGGAATGGGAAGGGAGAGTGGGGTCGACGACTTAGTACATTTTCCTCATTATTAACAATCTGATGCACTTGAAGCTACCATGGTGCGCCAAAAGCCGTGGCTTGGAAAGTTGTCAACTGATGGGATAACTTTGATCTCACAGTCGGCCCAGTGTTGCGTGTTTGTGTGGAGCGGCCGACTTGTGATCTAAGAGTCTGGCTCCAATGACCCCTTCTTAATGTGGCCCTAATGGCACGCTCACTTCGTGTATTCCGACCCAGATGTGACGGTGCATCTAGGGGCGGCTTCGGCCGTGCCAGCCACACTTGCTGTTAGTCATAAAACTGGTTATTTGTTGTGTGGACCAGGGCGTGTGGAGTGGAGCGCCAAGGTTTGGGCTCGACCGTGTCCTCCACCCGCGTCCTCACCCGTCCCCGGTTTTCTTCACTCTGTCTTCACACCGGGTCCAGGTGGGAGAGGAGGAGAGAGCGTGGTAGATGCAGCGCAAGTACACATTTATTATAAATTAAATCACGTGCAAGTCACCGTGCCTACTTCACTTTGCTGGGGAGCACACGATGGACATCGTCGGATGCGACGGTCGAATTGTTGTAACCCCGTCATGAAGCATGAGCGTGCACTTGGGTTTTGTCCGCCCGAAACTAATTAGCGAAGGACGCAGCAGTGATCGGTCTCGAGATCTCGCCACAGTAGTGCCAAGTCCCATGCGGCTCAGGCCATCGACTGACAGGGGGCATCAGGGAGACTGAGGGCAGCACGAGCATGCGATCACGCTGGCGACCACGGGAGCGGATTGCCACAAATTCCCGAACAACACCACAATGTTTGAACGACCGGTATGCTTTCACGCTGTCGTGCATCCTTGGCCATAATCGAACACGGTCATCCGTGATCTGACAAGACCGCGGCGCATGGCCGAAGATTTAGTTATGACTATCAAAGGTAAGTGAGCACACTGTCTAGTTGTCGCTTTGCTCATTCACAATGATCTTGTGGAGCAGTTATAGCTTAAAACCCTTTCGCTTTGTGTTGGCCATTTAGTTTGTCAGCTACATCACGTCGACCATTACCATTGACTGATGTGCGCTTGGTTGCCTAGCCGAGACAACTCCGTACATCTGACATACACTGCAACTTAAAATGGGCTCGGGGCCGGATTTTTCGAGCAATAATATTTTGACACTTATCAGTGGCATGCAACATTTGTGTTAAACCAAGAAACCAGTCGAGGTAAGATAGTCGACAACTCGAGGTTGCCCAAATCAGAAGTCAGAGGAGCAAATTTAGTTGAATAAACTTCACTGAAGAAAGGGGTAGCGTACACGATGTTCGGTAGGCAGTAGCAACAGTTCCTTCCACCAGCCCTGTCGGCTGTTTAAGTTGTTTGTTCGGGCACGAAGTGTGTGCCTACGCCTGAGCTTTGCGCAGCTCCGACCAATCACGGTCCGGCGAGCCGCGAGCTGAGTCACACGCACCAAGCACTGGTTAACAGGCGTGGATAGACGACTACACTGACGGCAGCGAAAGCAGACCATTGCCTTAATATCAACCTTTGACTTCCAATCACAATAACACGCGCAAAAGTGACTTTCTAATTATAGGTGTGGGTAAGATGTGGTTATGTAGCCCCACCTGATCGTCACAATACTATTGGAGTTAGAGGTTAGGGTTGGGAGTTAGGGTTAGGGGTTATGGTTAGGGGCTAAGGTCAGGGTTAGGGTTAGAGTAACTATTTATCAACCACTCAAAGTACAACTGCGCATTCCCAATAGCCTTTCTTTTGCTTACAAGTGCTTGACCTCTTCGCCTGTGCGTTCCCCGGTCCCACGTGTAAAAACCCCGATTACCACCGGTCCCGTGTCACAGGTGGCTGGGGTTTGTTTACCTCAGGTGGAGCTATATAACCACATCTCCCAAGTGTTTTCTTGTCTTGTTGGAAGGTACTCGACGGATGGATGACGCAATAAGCAGGGCTTCTGGATTCTTAACATAAATCTAGGTCTCATGAGGTGGCAATGATAGGCTGTAAAACCCACAACTAACTTGAGCTAGCCTGTGGACCGTGGCATACGCTGAATGGTTGTAGAGGAGGTTTTACGGGTGGGGCAACACACAGGACGGAGAGCAAGAAAACACATAAAATAGATCAATTTCTGCCGAAAGTCTTATCTTACGCTGGTATTTGCAGAGAAAGTCAGTGCAATAATTAAAAAATGAACGAAAAGCAATCTTCAAAAAATTGTGGACTTTGAATAAAGCACCGCTGGTAAGTTTACACTTAATCAGGAAGGGAAGGAAATTTCGAAAAATGGGAACGGTGAATAATAAGTGGTTTACAGTCGCATTGAATTTACGGGTATATTTTTGTGGTTTCACTGCTCTGCCCTAAAAACAGGCTGAATAGCCAATATCTTCCAGCAATAAATCTTCCCGTTGGTTTACGCGCATTTGTAAGACGACAGTTAGGCCGTTGTTACCGACGATGTCTACCATGTGCTACACAACAGGGTGACAGCAGGAACGGCGACTTGCGCCGGAATTAGTTTATAGTGATAGCAGACTTGCGCAGCATCCTCCCTCCCCACCTGGATCCGGCCTCAAGACTGAGCCAAGAGGACCGAGGTCGAGAGAGACCGAAGGTGACTGGCACGGCGTGAACCCCCACCTGGGCGCACCACCACACCCCCTGGCCCACAACACTCGTTGACCGGGATTTTATATCACAACAAAAATGGGTGGCGACACGGATCCCAATTGGCGCTGCACGGACCGGCAGCTGGGCCCACTACCGCACCCCAATGTTAGAACTTGTTATGGGTGTGCATTCCCGATAACGTCGGTCGGAATCCGATGTGGCCGCTGTATTTTTAAAACAAAAGTAATAATACAGATCTAAGTTTTAAAAGGCCTGTAGTGCCTGCTATGGGTGGTAAGTACCGCCTTCCCCCAACCTTAGATATGTCAACGTCTCGATGTTCATTTAGGCACTATATATAGGACCAGAAAACAACGGCTTCATTTGCCCATTGGTTTACATTCCACCGGAATGGGGGACGGCACTGGTCGCTCAAGAACTATCATTCCAGAGGGGGGACATCGCTGCTCTCAATGAGATCCGATTCTCCAAACAGCGTCATCTGAAGGAGGCGGGTGCCGACTTCACCTTCTTCTGGGGCAGCCGTCCAAAGACAGAGCAACGCCATGTCATTAAGAACGACTGTCCCGACTGTCGCGGGCCATCAAAGACTGCCCCATGACCATTCATCTGCCTCTTTGGCGAACCCAATTCTCCACCGTCATCAGCATCTACTCTCCCCCAATGACCAGTTCCGACGAGGTAAAGGAGAAATTGTACGAGGGCCTGCACGCCTTCCTGCTGACTGTGCCGAAGGCGGATAAGATGGTTGTCCTCGTTGACTTCGAGGCCCCCGTCGGGGCAGACGAAGTTGCCTGTGAGGGAGGGCTGGTCCCCGTGCTCTCGGCGGCCGTAACGAAAACGGACTTCTTCTTCTGCGAACCTGCTCGGGGCATCGCTTCCTGCTGGACAACGCCTCCTTCCGGCGCGGGATAAGACAACATGGATGCACTCCCAATCGCAGGACCGGCAGCTGCCTGGATACGTTCTTGTCGGAAACGAGACCGACAAGACGTGCTGGTAATAAAGACGATCTACGATGTTGACGACTGGACGGATTACCATCTCATTATCTCCAAGATGAGACTCTGACTGAAACCTAACCGGAGACCACAAGGTAAGCCACAGCCATGTAGATTAAATACTGTTCTGTTGAATTTGCCTGCTTACTTCTTGCAGTTCAGCAATCAATTAGTGCAGCGCTTGGAAGGAATGCAGACTCCGGACGACACGACTGTTGAGACACTTGCGCCCTGGGTGTTAGTAGACGTCCACGGTGTTCAGATCAGAATTAGTTCAGCAACAACGACGAAGAAATCCGCAATCTGCTTGCCGAGAAAAATAGATTGCACAAAGCCTGTACTTGCCGCTGGACAGATGCAAGCAAAGCGGCCTTTTTCAGATGTCGTCGCTTGGTGCAACAGCAATTTCGGGAGATGCAAGACGCCTTGATTGATCGTAAGGCCGAGGAAATGCAGAGGTACGCGGACCACAATGAAATTGGGAATTTCTTCGTCTACATCAAGGCAGTCTACGTCCTTCGCACCAAAGGAACCGCGCCGCTGTTCAGTTCCAACAGACCAACATCCCCAACAGAGAAATTTGAGATTCTGAAGAGCCGGCTTGAGCACTTCAGAACTGCACGTCCACAGTCCGACGCCAGCATCGACCTGCTGCCACCAGCGGAAACTTAATCGTCCTTGACCTCCTGCCTTGCCTCTCAGAAAGGAGCAGAGACATATAACTGCTCTCAAGTGGGATCCAACGCAATTCCGGCCGAACTCTACGTGCACGGCGACCCCCGAATGATGGACAAACTGAAACCGCTGTTCCAGGTCACTATCGCACGCATCTACAAACGCAAGGGCAGCCGCCGATTCTGTTACAATCACCTAGACGTTTTCTTCCTTAACATATCAGGGGGAATCTTCGCCCGCGTACTCTTCAGTTGCCCGAACAACTTGGAAAAATGTCTCCTTCCGGGGAGCCAATGTGGATTTCGAGGGCGTCGTGGCGCCGTCGATATAATATTCTCCGCCAGCCAGCTGCGAGAAAAATGCTAGAAAATGATGACAAACCTCTACACCACCTTCGTAGAGCTGATGAAGGCCTTCGATACAGTGGGTCTTGACAGGTCTGGAGGATTCTGCTGAAATGTGCATGTCCAAAACGTTTCACACATGGTACGCCAACTGCACGACGATACAATATCGCGCGTTATGGACAATGGGACAATCTCGGACGCACTTTCAGCGACCAGTGGAGCGAAGTAGGTCTGCGTGTTTGCTCCCACTCTCTTTAGTCTCATGTCGTACGCTATGCTGATGGGCGCCTGCCGTGGGAGTGGTCGGAAATGAGCATCAACTACTGGCTGGACGGATGACTGCTCAACACAAGCGCATAGAATCACACTCGAGAGCACCCCAGATCAGCTTGGACGACCTACTGTTCGCCGATGACAGTGCACTCAACACAACGACGAAAGCAGTCATTCAAAGGATCATAGACCTCTTTGACTCCAGCTCCGCCAACCTCGGACTGACACGGGGAAGACGGTAGTCATGCTTCAACTAGCGCCAAACACAGACAATAGAGAACCCTGCGTCCCTGTGGATGGTGTAAAAGTCACCTCTGTGCACAAATTTGCGTACCTAGACAGCACAATCTCACGGAATGTGAACATCGATGAGGAAGTGGACCACCGGATCTCTAGGGCTAGCCAGACATTTTGCCGGCCACGGACCTCAGTCTGGAATCACCGCGGACTCACCTGAACACTAAATTCATGATGTACTGGGCAGTAGTCCCGACAAAACCACTCTACGGGACGGAGATATCGACCAAGCCAGGAAGCTGAACCACTCCCACCCTCAATGTCTCCGGGGAATACTAAAGCTGAGGTGGCAGTACAGGATGCCGGACACAGAAGTCCTGAAACCGAACGGAATCCACAGCACCCATACCATTATGCGGTAACTGAGCTGGAGCGGCCAACTCGCAAGGATGGATGGCGAGCATCTACTCAAACAACTTTTCTATGGCGATGACGCAACGGACGCTGGCCGACAAGGAGGGTGAGGACGACGCTACAAGAACACTCTACGAAACTCCCACAAAGTTAATCTGGACACCTGGGATGGCCTCCTCAGGATCAATCGGCCTGCAGAAGAGCAGCGAAGACGGGAACAGCAATACACTAAGCTAGCCGCATCATTGATGCCAAAGTGAAGATAGCGGATCGCAAATCGCAGACGTTGCGAAACCTCGACCATCCACCACTTATAACGTGCCGACCCTGATAAAGGACACATTGCGTAGACCGGCCTCGTCGAACATCTTTGGGCGCAATACAATAGCACAACTTTACTGACTGACTTCACAAACGCCTCCGCCTTCACCCATGACGCAACCATCGCGGTGCCCACGACGGCAAGCACCATCACCAACTTAGAGCAAAGTCTAGACGGTCTGTCGTCGAGGACGCAATCTACCACCTCCACCATCACTGCCACACCTCCCGCGACGACGAATACCCGGTCATCCCATCCCCACTCTGTGAGAACGCTCCCAATGACCCAGCAACCATCATCCCCGCATCGCGGAATCGACCCGAACCTATCCTCGTTGTGGTCGCAACTTAGCATCACGCAGTTGCCTCGTCGATCAGTTTCAAATCCACCGAACTGTGACTGGTCAATCAGTACCAGGAGCGCCGACTGATCCCGCAGCCCACGTACGGGCCCACTCGGCCAAAGGCGCATTGGTGAACTCACGCAATGTCGACATCCGAACCACACTTTACACATCAGAGAGCCGCCACACTTCTAGCACTACCAGCGTCATCAACACAAGTAGCGCTATCACCACCAACAGCACACGCATAGGACCGGCCTCTGCAGCCTGATGACAGTTGTCTCTGCTGTTGCGCTGACCCAGTCGCTCAGGCTAGTTAGTTGGGACCCTGTAAATCACACGGAAGGTTTCGTTGGGATCCACACGGTGCCCAGGACCAACCATGTGTGTTCTTCTAAGCTATCACGGTGCGCTAAAAGCCATGGCTCGGAGAGCTGCCAATTGACGGGATAACTCGGTCCTCTCGGGACGGGGAGCCAGGCTACAATGGCTTTTCCTTGACGTGGCCTCTACGGTATTCCCAGTCAGATGGGATCCAGGACGTCTTGTTCCTTTGAAAGCCTGGTCAGTCGCGCGCGGACCAGGCGTGACACGCGCAGACGGGCCGTTTGACTTTGTCCGCAACCGCACCGGGTCCCGTCTCCGGTCGTCCTGACTTCATCTTGCCACGGGGCTCAGGTGGGTGAGAGGCGAGTAAGGTAGATGTAGCGGGAGTCACCGTCCCTGCGTCCACTCCGCTGAGACACGATAGGCATCGCGTCGGCGAGCCTTTAGTTCTGCATTCCACCGATGTCTGTCGCCTACCTTGCGCTTTTCCGCATTGCTCTTCGGATGCCGGCTCCTCAGCATTGCGTACCCACCCTGCCAGTCTGCATTGTCCTAGCCGTCCAACCCGTGTCGTCTGCAGTTGAGAAGACACCTGCACGCTCGGGAGCCTTTAGACCTTTGGATATCTTGTTTTATCCGTACCGCTTTCTAATAAGAATTCCGAAATGCCCGACTCTGTTTGAGAAGTGCAGACGCTCCTGGCAAAACCGGCCTCTGTTTGGTAAAGTTAATGACCACGATATCTCAGATGAACGAGCAAATAAGGCCTTAGTGTGTCGTTGCCATTGTTTGTGGCTGGCAACTCCGCACACCGGAGGATCACTAGAATGCCTCTCCCACCTTGCCCACCATTCAAAAACCGCTAGTTCGTGGTTTAGAGGGCCAAGAGACGGACACTTCTAGTGAGAATTGCATAGTCACGGCACGCAGTACAGCTGACTACTCTTAGTCACTTGAGTGCAACGCCTCATTAACAGCCTTGCGGGCCAACCGCGTACCCATACGGTTGGACAGCCCTTGAGCCACGATGCCCACGCGAATTTGAGGTTCGTCCAAATCTAGATGCCCTACTCCCCTCTGCAAATGTTGTTCCCTTATTCAGGAAAGTTGGATCATTTCGAACTTCCTAGACCCGGACCAAATGAAAATCGAATGACTCGAGCCGACACCCACAGACTTTTAGACAAGGTTAAATAAGCATATAAGCAGAATAAAGAATCCGTCAAGTAATCTTGAAAAAGAAATCAGGTCAAGTAAGTTGTACTTATAAAGAGAAGCGAATAACCACAAAAAATATGTCCCAACACAAAGACAGGACGAAGTCAGTAGTCTCCAACAGCACTGGTAAAACAAAAACGACCATTTTCTTGGGGGTGCTTCTGTAAGTGAACAAAATCAACACGGCTGCAAGACGTCGCAGTCGCAAGGTCTCTCCGTCTGTGATTGTTGGCCACGATCAAATGGCTGACTTGCTGAAACTTATTCGAAGGTGGGAATTCTCGCTCAGCTGGGTATTATGCAAAGCCTGAAAAAGTGAAAATGAATTACGACAAACGGAATCTTTCTTGGCCACTGTAAACGTCATGAAATCTCGAAAAAGCTTATTTGTTTGGTTTATGTCAATTGGAGTGCAAAGGAAGCTTAAACAAACTGGTCTGTGACAGCGTCCGGAAAAAGAGTGAACCAGCTGACTCCTTACTGACTAAACGTACAACCAGTACAGGAAGCACGGCTCATTACCAGTTCAGTCTACCAGCACATGGGTTAGTGTCAAGAATTGGATGTCAGAAGACAGGTGGACCAAACTGAGCAGATATGCGTTAGCGTAGGTATAAAATAACAATACGGCAAGCATCCTTCAAGTATTCATCGTGTGAGAGATGCAGGCAGACTGTCCTGTCCAGCTAGCCACTTGCGCCTAGTCCTCTCATCAGATGCTTTACCAGCTCAGGCAGTGGACTGGTCCTTGGGGGAAGGAATGTGAGGTCGACTCTGGGGGATCGGAGCCTGGAAGGTGTTCTTGGGAATGTAAACCCATAATAAATGTCGAGATTGGGGGTTTGGTGGCACGCCCGTGGGCCGGGTCACGCCAAACCCATTGGGGTCTGTGCCACCTGTTTTTGTTGTGGGATAAAATGCTGGTCAGCGTATGTTGTGGATAAGGGGATGGTGGCACGTCTATGTGCGGGTTCCTGTCGTGTCGGCCACCTGCGATCTCTCCCGCCTCTGGACTCCTTGGCTATATCTCGACACCGGATCCAGGTGGGGGAGGAGTGCGGCGGACGCCGCGCAAGTCCGCTATCAGTATAGACTCTCGCACCAGTCTTCGCCCCTGCCATGAGTCTGCTGTTGAGCAGACGGTGGACATTGTCGATGTCGACGGTCGAACTGTCGATACTCCAATATCAAACCAAAAACAGTTTCCAGCAAACTGGACGAATCGCTTGAAGAACACTACCGTAGGCAGAAAACGCCGGTGGCAGTTGCCATCCTGGTTCGTCCAAGGTATGGGGCAGATCTATGCGAACGTCTCAGAATACCCAGCGCGCTCGATAAACATGTTTGCTAGCGAAGTGACCGGACAGATAAATATCCCATAGATGACAAGTGTGTAATAAGCCGATTTTACTTACTATGAGAGCTTCCATGGCGCTTTCGACGCTATCCAGCTGGACGAGTGCCATCTTGTTGTCCTTCCTAAAGCAAAGAAGCGAATCACAAAAGGCGATGGAAC